ATTATCCTTGTACAATATTGAGTTTTCGTTGCAAAGCAAATTTTTACCTCATTCATTAAGCTAAAGGAAAATTCCCTTGCAAAGTGAACAGCCTATTTGCCTTTAGTAAATCAATGTGTGGGCTGGCTCTTGGGATTCAAGGCTACAGCATAATGTTTCTGCAAAAAAAAAAATCAATGTATGTACTTGCAGTAGAACAGAGGAGTGGGGGATGGAGGGAGTTCTTAGTGTAGCATGCAGGGCTGACAGTCTTGTTTGGAATTTCAGTACAATAGAGGAACTGTGCTGTTTTTCTGTACTTTCAGAGTACTTAAAGCATAAAACATGAGGAAATGTACTGGTTTTTTTTTTGTTGCCCAGACATACACTTCATCCATATTGCCTCCACCTGGACAGCCCAGGTGTAGCGTACAGCTTATTATTGACTTGAATGGCTGGGCACCACTGTACTCATGTATACGGCGGTGCTACTGTAAACAGGAGTAAAGTGTATGGGCATAGGCAAAACATAGAACATTTTCTATTTTTTGCATATGCCCATGCGCTGTACTCATGTTTATGACAGCATCCATGTATACACAAGTACACTGTTGCACAAACATTCAAATCAATGACAGGCTGTACACTGCACCCGGGCTGCCCAGGTGAAGGAAAGACAGCTGCAATTACACTGAATGGGCCCAGATGACCCATGTGCAAGAGCCCTAATAGCTTTATTTTAAAGGACATTTTTTTTATTTCAATTGTTACATCACTGAACAGAACCTGCCTTTATACAAACTGTTGAACTTTCTTAATGAATATGTAATTTATGTTACCTTTACTTTGTAAAACAACCCATTCTGGTTAAAATAGAAATGCAAAGAAAAATGTTTGTGTGCGTATATGACAGGTTGTATGTTATATATACTGTATATGTATATTTTTTTAAATGTGATCACAAGATCTCTGTATCAGCTGTATAAGTAGCTTGGAGAGGTGAGGGGTGGAGATTCCTTGTGATAATGGAGGGCATGGCAGGAGCAGCTTGAATGGAGCACCGAAGCAGTCCAGTGTAAATTGCTTAGACAGAAATACACTATGACAGGCTGGTCAGGGTGCTGTGTCAGCAGGAGGCAGAGAAACAGCAGCACACTGATCTTCCTGAACAGCTGTGCAGCATGTCAGCAGGAGGCACAGCAGTACACTGATCTTCCCAGTGATTAGCTGTGCAGGGGGGGTGTCAGCATGAGTCTGACCAATGGAGTACAGGCAAATTGAGCTGCCAAGTAGAATGCAAAGATTCAGTTTAAAATAGGAAAGCAGGGGGACTGGCAGGATTATGAGGTATTTCACACAAAGGAAACAATGCAAAGAGAACAGGATACTTTTTCCATACAAGTACATGGTACAACAGACAAATATCAGAAATATGAAATGTTGGGGTAACATACACTTCAGCTTTATAAAGTACCTACACTTTTATCTGCCTGATTTTGAAACATTATCAATGCTGTTTTTTGTGAGAGCATGCTGTATTCATTTCAACTCTACTCTATATCTGAATGATAAGTTCAGCACCCCATTAAAAACTTGCATATGTGTAACCTCACAGGTAGTGCTGACTGCAGAAAGGCTGTTTTGTGATATACTATTAGGATTTTTGTAGCATTGCAGGCCTAGCAGAGAACATTGTCTATACAATAAAACAGCTTCTCAATCATTTTAGTCAAAACACAGGGGTAGGTTGACAGAACCTAGAAATAAGGTGTCATGTCCACACATGCAACCCAAGGAAAAGTTAGGTGCTTCCTATTAAACACTAAAAAACTGTCTTTCTGTTCAACAGTCTTCGTAGGTTAAAAGACAGGTGTTAAATAGTGAAAAGAAAATACATATTAACTACGTACAGGGCATATTAGGCTGGCCTGTTCCATGTTAAAAGTAGGATGCCCATATGGACACACCCTAGAGGGATTTGGCAGCATATAAACATAAAGTACAAAGTTGCCTTATCATTTTTTAGTTCACTGTAATTTTCCAGCATTCGTGTTTGTTATGCCACAGTGATGGTGTTATTATAATAACACAACTGTATCATTACTACATACAATACGAACTACAAAGCTTATTGCAAAACACAGCATAAAACAAGATGGCACTGTTTAAATCACAGAGTATCCTAATAATAAGAACTCAGTCCTCATAAAAGCTATAGAAAAGCTTACATGAAAGGAACTGTAAATTGAACAGCTAATAAACCCCAAAACACCAGCTGGCTTATCCAAAGTAGTCTCTTCAAACATTAGCGGATATATATGTGTGTTTGTATATATATATATATATATATATATATATATATATATATGGGTGTGTGGTGAGCTTTTTCAAAATATAGCTGTGTATATAGTCCCATAAAGATGCCTACAGATAGTTTCTACCAAACATGAAATGGCTAATAACAGAAAACCATTGAACATACCAAACTATGGTACATAACATTCTACTGACACAGCTACTGGGACTATCATGGCTGAACGTCTATTGAAAATACTGGTTGTCTGGCAATCTATACCCTGTTCTGAAACACTGATCTGGAACAAGCATGCAGCTATTGAAATCAATGAAAAAAGTCAGACCTCTTGTTCTGAAAATTTGTTCTGATTCAGTATCTGGAAGGCATTTAGAATTTTCTTAAGATTGGCAGTACAGTATAAGTTGAGTGTTTGCCCCCCTACCTTAAAGTGACATTAAACCTTTGGTTTTTTTTTTTACTAAAATAATAAACATGGTATACTTATCTGTTCTGTACAATGGTATTTCACAGGGCTGCCTGGATTCTCCTCTTCTGGGGTCCCTCGCCAGCGCTCCAGGCTCCTTCTCTTTGGTGGGTGCCCACATGGAAAGCCGCTTTACATGGTGGCACTCATGTGGGCTCACTCCCGAGCCGCCCTGTCTGCATTCATTGACACAGGGCAGGCAGCTCAGCCCCATTCCTCGTTGGCATAGCACAGCATTTGATTGACAGCAGCGGGAGCCAATGGCTCCTGCTGCTATCTATCTGCCCAGGGATGAGGGAGACAGCTGCGAGAGCCACTGCTCTTGTGCACATCGCTGGATCAAATCAGGCTCAAGTATAAGGGAGGCTGAGGTGGATCCTTTAGAACCACTTTAAAGCAGAACTCCGGGCAAAAACATCTTGGCACATCCCTTCTGTAGTTCTTTCTCCAGGAAGCAGTGATGTAACTCAGCCCACTTGCAGTGGTGGGTGGACTGAGACTCTAAGACACATTCAATATGTACAGACCTAGTGTACCCGCCCACTTTCACAACAATTGATGGGAACTGTAGTTTCCTTTTACAACAGAAAGAGATGAGAGGATATGATATAATCTCTGCTGTTATACCACTTTCTTGGCAGAGCAGATGCTGTTATCATTTGAATTACAGAGATGAGACCATGAAAATGCAATTAGACTTTTTCATTTCAATGATAAGGATTTTCAAAATTGTATTAACTGTTTAATGTTTTGTGTAGGGGGGGTGTACTAATGGGTGATTTTATTGCCTATCCCAGAGTTCTTATTTCAAATTAGCAGTCGATAGGAACCATGAAGTGTCTGTCCCACTTTTATATAGGGATGACATTACTGGGAGAGTAAGAGTAGCCACACATGGTCTGTGCTTTTTATTTTTACCATAAATGCCTGACTATTGGTAACATATATTTCACAAATAGGTGCTTTTATTTGTATTTACTTATTTTATAGAAAGAGCTTGACTTCTAAAAGTGAACTGAGGTCATGGAATATTACTGGCTAGCTAAAAACAGTACTTGCAACAACTATGCACCATAACTACCAATCAAGTTCAGATCTGCCCTTGAAAATGTCATCTTGAATCTAAAGGTTTTTCACCCCTCTTTCCTGTTTGGTTGTTCCAGGCAATGCATCATTCCCTTTCCTCCATTTTTCATAAATAAGGGTCATGGCATTTTGTAATAATCAGAAAATGTTGACACCTCAGTTAGGTAAGCCAGGGATAAATCTGTGAAACCTAAGAATGGTCTGGTCTGGAAACTGAACTGTTGGTATCTGTGGTTTTTATAGCCACTCAAGTTTCACACACATACACACAGACTGGTGTGTCAGCAGTTCAAATATTTGCTTCTAAGAGAGGATTTCCTTATTGTAATGCAAAGAAAACAACATGACCATAACTATCATTATATTAAAACAGCCAGCACTTTACAGTGTGAATTTTCACACATTTTATCTCACCATAACCCTTTCTAATCAAAGAATGTTGTTAATGTGCCAGGTTGCTCCTGTGCCGTTTCCAAAATAAAAAAACGCCCCAGAAAGATACTTGTTGCTGGTAAATCTACATGAAATGTAAAACTATGTTTGAAGATCTACTAGATGTCATTATCAGTAAAAATACACACAGCTTAAGTTTGTACAGAGCTCAAAGCCTGCTAATGAAGTACTGGATACAAATAGCTGCCAACTGTCTCTAATGTCTAAAAGGACATTGACCAAATGTCCCCATTTTCAAGGGACAGTCCTTGGATTGAAGAGGCTGCCTAAAGTGTTCAAGAATGTGTCCCTGGATGTAGCTCACATCCTTGATTTCCTAACTAGTGTTAAGAGGCTACTCAGCCGGGGTTATAGTTTTTAAGATGGTAGAAGTCTCCCCTCCTCCCTTCTGCCCCTCCACACCATAGGGGCTGTATTGCCTGGGGGAAGAAACTGAAATGTGACTGACCCCACAGATTTTGGCCCTGAACCCAAAACCATGTGAACCACGGCAGGGAGAGAGAGTAGCCCCAGAGCCTGGGAAAAGACTCCAGTAGACTTACAGCCTGGGAATCAGCTCTATCTCACTAACATAGTAGGGGTTGCATGATACTTCTGTTCTTACACAACACTTTTATTAACATTACTTATAAGGGAAAAACATCTATACAACATTTTTCATCTTCATGAAAATTACAGCACTGTGACAACTAAACCACTAACCTCCTCCAGTTGGCAAGCCTTGATGACACTCAGATATCTGTACTGGTCATAGGAGACTCCAAACACTATGTTTTCCTTTATGGTCCCAGGCATTATCCAGGATACTTGGGGAGAAAATGATATTCGTCCACTGTGTTTTATTTCCCTGAGGAAGGTTCCAGCTCCCCCATGATCATCATTAGAAGAGAAGTCTGCAATAATAAATTTAGATTGAGTTCTTACAGCACAGTCTGTACCAATTTCATCATACACTTTAAATGACTGAAAGAGTTTAAAGTGTAACTCCACTTTTTTTTAAAACAAAAACAATCCTCTGGGTGATCAATGTTTATTGCAGGGATTTTAACAAACTTTGTTGCAGATTTCTACCTTTTTGTTGCTCTGTTTTTTAGTTACAGTATGTCAATGCGCAAAGTAAATCTGAATGGGAGTGACTTTCATTATCAACCAGCTGATGCACTTGCAGGGTTCTAATGAGGAAAACTGCAGGGTCCGCATTCCTTTAGAAGTGATTAATCCTTTATGAGTATCTCACCAAAAATGATTTTTTTGTTGCAGAGGATGCCTAAAACCTGACTTGTATTTTAGTGCAGTCTTATGGGAAAATCAGTGAGACAATCACACAAATAGGAAATTACATCTCCGGAGGCACTGCGTACAGCAACTGTGTGTGAAATGCCTCTAGTTTGCCATGTTGCATTGAAGTTTACAGAAAATGACAGTACTGCTGATTGAAAAGGAAAGGTAATTTATAATGACAATCAATTACAATATGGCTTATGTAGCAATTGTATATGCTACAAATGCTACACAATGACAAAGTGAAAACAGAATTTTAGAAATGTGTGAATTTATTAAAGAGAAAAAACTGAAATATCACAAATACTTAAATATTCAGACCCTTTACTCAGTACTTTGTTGAAGCACCTTTGCAGCAATTACAGCCTCAAGTCTTTTTTGGTGTGACTGGATTAGGGGGATTTTTCTGGCATTCTTTTTTGCAAATCCTCTCAAGGTTAGTCAGGTTGGATGGGGACCATCAATGGATAGCCATTTTTTTCAGGTCTCTCCAGAGATGTTCAATAGGGTTCAAGTCAGGGTTCCGGCTGGTCCGCTCACAGGGTGGTCCCTAAGCCACTCCTGCATTGTCTTGGCTGTGGGTTTAGGTTCATTTTCATGTTGGAAGGTGAACCTTCGGCACAGTCTGAGTTCTTCAGTGCTGTGGCCACCATGCTTCACTGTTGGGATGGTATTGGGCAGGTGATGAGCAGCCCCTAGTTCTCTCCAAACATAACATTTAGAGTTGAGGCCAAACAGTTCAACTTTTTTTCATCAGACCAGAGAATCTTGTTCCTCACAGTCTGAGAGTCCCACAAGTGCTTTTTTGCAATCTCCAACTGGGCTTTCATGTGTTTTGTCTGGCCGGGCGACCAGCTCTTGGAAGAGTCCTGGTTGTGCCAAACTTCTTTTATTTGAGACTTATGGAGGCACTGTGCTCTTGGAAACCTTCAGTGCAGCAGAATTTTTTTTTTAGCTTTCCTCAGATCTGTGCCTTGCAATAATCCTCTCTCTGAGCTCTGTAGGCGTGTTGTTACAAAGGGTCTGAAAACTTATGACAATGTGATATTTCAGTTCTTCCTTTTTAATACATTTGCAAACATTTCTAAAATTCTGTTTTCACTTTGTCATTATGGGGTACTGAGCATAGATTAATGAGAAAAAAATGAATTTCAACAACTGTAGTATCAGGCTGGAACATAACAAAATATTTTATGAATGCACTGTATACATAAATGAAGTATTGCAAAACATTTCATCCATGGAAGCTCCGCTGTTTACTTCCTTTTGATTTTCTTTGTAAAATGGCTAAACTGGACAGGTTTACACAACAAACTTGAGAGGAGTTAAAGTAATACAGTTCCATCCAAAATAAAGACAGATCCAACAATTAGATTTGTTTCATTATTTTAAAAAGTACTTAGATGCACTTTTGCATTACATTTGTTCCAAAGATATCTATCATTTAAGTCTGCAAGTGTCAAAACAGTATAATTCTTGTCATATGTCCTTGTATAACTCTGTTGAGGTGTGGTTTGTCATGTCTGCTACAGTTTGAATACATCTCCATTCCTTCTGTTGTCACTTTTACCTTTGTCAGCACTCTGGATAAAGGGGAAATGGCTAATGCTAAGCATGTTAAGTAGAGTTTGGTTAGACATGAGAACCAGAACATTTAAACAATTTGTAAGTGAGTTAGGAATAATTATATTCTTGAACATGCATGTTAATGCCGTATGTGAAGTGATAGAGGATAGCTGCCAGATATCTTAGCACAGACTTTATTTGGAAAAAATAATACTAATGTCTGCTACTATCCATCGACATATCATCACCTTATGTCTATGGGCAGGGTAAAGCTGAACTACTTTCAAACAGCTAAATACACAAATGAAACACATATACAAGGTCCAGTATGCTTATCCTTCTATAACTATAGTCAGTCCTGCACTGCTATAGGTACTGAGACCCTGGGATTCCGGCCAGGGTGTTCCCAATGTCCTCTCCCCTTCTTCTCTTCTCTTGCCCTCTTTACACTTTCCCCCTTTTTATTCTCTTAGGCTCTTCTGCAGGGGAAGCCCCTGACTATACATTTATTTGTTCTCAGCATTTCTAACTTAAAATGTTGCATTTAACTCATGAGCACCTATTACCTTGTCAATGGCGCTGGGTTCCTGTTTTTACATACATTGTTAAATTGTTATTGCACTATTAACGTGTACTTTGGTATACTTATTGCTATGTCTTTTGTAACTCCTTTTCTACTTGATGTATGATTGCTACTGTTTTGTAAGTCACCAATGCTCCAATTTTATCAATATACTTTTATAAAGTTATATGTTGTATCCTATTAAATCTTTAATAACAACTTATTGAAAGAGAAGTACATATAGAGCTGTTTTACCTGCCTAAGGATTTGCATTTCTGGCCATCAAGTTTGAGATTTACACAGCTCTGATAAACAACACAACTAGGTAAATTACACCACTTTACTTTTATAGTTATAAACTGTAGAAGGAATTCAGTGGTGTCTTCTATCCACCCCTCATTCTATTAACTGGACAGTGAAAGGGCAGCCACAGACGGGAGGAGATTACTTCTCTGCTCATTCTGCTCCTCCAGCTACCATTATGTTCCCTTTTAGTCCAGTACAACTCACTGGTGCCCAGATCCTGCCCCTTCTTCCCTCAGTGATGCTGTGTTCGGGATGTCAAGAGACTGATGCTGTCAAATTCTGTTACTTACACTATCTGAATTAAAAAAAAATTATAATAATTTGTTGATTTAGCTGCATTAATTTGTATATTTTATTTCAGCTTTGATAGTAAATGTTTTCAGGCTTTCTCCTACATTAGGAATGTAACATTTATAACCACTAGGAAGTTCTGCCATTACTTTGTGGTATATTATGTTTCAATCCTTCTTATTAACACTGTAAGGCAATCTGAGTAATTTTTTTAGATGCACGATTAGCATTGCAGAGAATTATTGAACAACACATAGTTTACAAGGTATACAGAAAAACCTCCAAGAAGTTGCACATCAAAGGTTCATTAGACCACTGAACATGTTTCTTTCAAGTAGCAAATTATGCTGAGGAAGGTTACATAGCTATTTCCAAATTTGTAAGATCCTTTAGTAAATCACACTACATGACTGTCATATTACAGAACTTGTCATAATTTAATACTTTCAGAAGGATTTCCATTGTGCCTAATGGTTTTCCTAGGTTATATAGTAGATTTAATCATTCTAAATTTACATCTGGTGTATCCATAATGTATGCAGTGAATGCAGTTCATATGGTCCCTAAGAGGGAAGGGACCCACTGTGCATTCACTGCATACATTTGGGAGTTGATTTAGGAAGCTGCCCTTTGCACTGCAGTTGCACTTGTCACTTGTGGCTGCAGCTCGACACCTGGATAAATAGGGGAGTGGGGTAGGGGGGTCTAAAATACTTCCTTCCTCTCCCAAAAAGCATCAATGTTACAGCCACAGATCCTCCGCAGCTGCCATGCCAATCACCCTCCCTGCCCACAAATCTGATTCACCCAGCTGCCTGGGCCCCCCTGCTGGCCTGGGCCCCGTAGAAGAGGACCGGAGGTCCCCTTTATCCGCAGCCATGCACAAGCCCACTGCATTCTGAATATGCCCCAGTACTATTAATTTATTTACTTAATTGTACAAAATATGTCAGAATTTCTTGTAAAATACAATACTGTGTGTCAACTAAGTTCCTAGTTCTATAAAATTTGTTGGAAAATAATCTCATCAGTAGCTAAAATTCCAGCATCAAGCTGGCTTTGTACCAAGAGCGTATCTTAATAGAAGTAAGATAAGATATTTACTGAGAACACTGTATAATGTTTATAGAATCAAGGCAGCCGACTTCCTGTGATCAACGCTGGAGCTGCTGATCAAACAAGTTTAATTTTTGATAAAATAAAGTACACAAATATTTAGAGTGTACAAGTACACATAATAAAAAGCTGAGGAATAATTCCTTTGAACTGGCATGTAGCAAAATTACCTTTCATATAACAGTGTGTTCTTTGAACTTTGCAACAAATACAACATTATTCGAGCGTGATTGTGATTTGTTGGCATGTGTGTTGGCAGTCATTTAATTACTAAAATGCAACATTGCAAAATAAGTTCTAGAAATGAAACATTTATCCGTAACCCAAAAACCACGTCCATATTAATCATCATATCAATTCTGCAAGACATGAAATATTTGACCAAGTCTTGAAAAATGAGCATATGATGTCAGATCCCAAAATCATGAATAAAACAACAGAAAAGTAATGGACCATTCCCAAAGCAGGGGACTTTAAATGCTTCAAACACTGTATGCACAAATATTAGGCAAGTGAGTTTTTTGACCAAATCATCATTTTTATGCATGTTGTCTAACTCCAAGCTGTATAAACTTGAGAGCCTATTGGATTTAAGCATATCAGGTGATGTGTATTTGTGTAATGAGGGAGGCTGTGGCCTAAGGAGATCAACATCCTATATCAAGGTGTGCATAATTATTAGGTAGCTTCTTTTCCTCATGCAAAATGGGCCAAAAAAGAGATTTAACTGACTCTGAAAAGTCAAAAATTGTAAAAAGTCTTTCAGAGGGA